CAAAGGGCAAGCAGTTGAAGTTATATAGTGTGTTTTGAAATTTGAATTTTAGGTACTTTTTATGGTCCTGGTGAATAGGGAGTAAAAAGTATGCATCTTTGATATCAATAGTACAAACATAATTGCCATCATGTAAGAGGTCCTTGACACTACGATAGTCCTCTAATTTGAAATGAGGAGGATTTATAAATGAATTCAATTTTTTCAGATTCAATATAAATCTAAATGAACCATTTGATTTTTGTGTGAGGAAATAATTTGACAGAAACTCCCCGTTTTCGTGTTTGGAATGCGATATCGCACCCATGGTAAGTAACTCGCGGACAATATTGTCCACTGTTGTCATTTGACATGTACTTGTTATATCTGGGGGTTCTGTTCGTTGATATGGTTGTTCTTCGAAGGGAATATTATATCCTTTAGTCCATTCTAAAATTAGAGAACTATCTGTAATGTTCTTCCATACATTGGAATATTTTTTCAATCTACCGGCATAGGTTACCTCTACGTTCTCCTGCGTGGTGGTTCTTTCCTCTTCTCCCCTCCCCATCGCTGTTGCTGGACTGGCCTGTCCTTCCTGCCTCCCTCCTCTTTTTTGCGTCGAAATTTGCTCGATTGGCGCTTAAAGTTTAAAGGAGTTGCTGATGACGTTGTGGGTTGGTTGCTCTGTATCGAATTCGGACGATAAGTTGGCCGGTTGATTCGTTTCAATTTCAAATCAGCCGATGCCTTTTGAATTTCCTTGGTACTTTTGACATTATCGCCGAGGTTGCTCCCAAAAAGCCACTCATCAATTGGCCTGTCCATGACTGTTTTCTTGACCGAGTGATCCAGGGTCCCGGATACGCCATATCGTCGATGCGAGGAGATTGTATGATGAACATCTGCCAAAAGTTTAGCTGCGTTTGCTAAGTGCAGAAGATGTGGATTAGTATCATCTGCAGCTGATGAGAAAAAAGTGTTGAGCGGAATGGCTACTGCGCATATCGCGGCACTCAGTTGTTCCTGTACTTTTGTCAGGAAGCTGTCCTGCTTGTTTAGGTTTTCTGTTAAGCATCCTTGAATTTCGGGGTTCATCTTGGGTGGATTCAGGGCTGGCACGTTGTTAGGAGGTGGATATTTCTCGGTTAGCTCTTTTCGATCTACCTTCTCTATACCCTTCTGCAGAAATATGGTCCATCTACTTGCAATTTGCTCATGCACATCCGGGCCTGTTGGCCTAGTAGCCAACGGGTCCACTCCTAATATCTCTACGGCGTCCACCACCGGTTGTTCCATTATTGGTTGCAACTCGTCAGGAACAGGAGAAAGTACTTCCTGATAACTAACTTGAGAATCGTAATCGCTCTCAGATTCACTTGAACTTGAACTCGAACCTGTGTGAGGAACCAAGCATGAAAATCTATTCACATAATACATTTAGGTATTTAGGTATTAGTATATTCGTAATATCTTCCGATCACCCTGTACAATGGAAGACGGGTGACGTCATTAAAATTTGTTTAATGAACTCAGTTGTGCATGTGCACGATTATTGTGGGCATGAAATGTTTCAGCCCTTATTTTCTTCGTTTTTGTTGGTAAAGGTATAACATAGCACATGTGTGTAGTTAGGTACCTTGTTTGTTAGCGTTTCTAGTAAATACATGTGTATTTCCATATGAAACGAGAACCAACTAAATTTCGGCATGAAATGTATCAGCCGTTTTTTATTGAATTGCAAAAACTAATGTCTTGCGATCTTCCGCCTTGAATCATCTTGTTCTAAGTCTATTTAAATATATATATACATATATATTTTGATTAAGACATAATAAATTGACGTAACTATTTGAGGAATACGTAATTAATATATTGAACTTACTTTGGCGAATTGATTCCAACTCTTTTTGAATTTTTCTAAGTTTCCGCTGGAATTTGTCCAGTTTATCATTCCTGTGTCTTTTATTATTCCCCATATTCTTAAAGCACTCGAATATTTTTCACTGTTTTCACGTTTTCACTTATTTTTAAAATAACCGAAAAAAACGTCTTATAGGCGCGGTACGACGAACTAGAATGAAGATAAATCAAGTTCGGGAAGTGATAAAGAAATACCGGTGACTAATAAACAAAAAACTTGTATTTCTTTAAACGTCGTAGGCAAGGTATAGCGCGCTAGGACTACAGGGTGTTTATAATCTGAGACGAGACTGCGAAATATAATGTGTTATCCGAGGTGTTATCATAACGTGTACCATCATTTAAGACTTTTCAATACATACTTTATCGACTTGACTAGTGTCCCAAACATTTCGTGAAAGTTTCACGAGTGACTGAGCATCATCTTTTCCTTGTCCACTTGTCAGTAAGGTGGGTATGTTTAATTTTTTTTCAAGTCCACTCGACTATGGTCGTTCGACTATCTTTACCTTCTGGAGAGATTATCGGAAGATAAAGTGATGGTTTTTCTAGGAATAAAGCATGAAGTTTTGCAGATTTCCAGAAACGACATGCCAAAACAAACTGATAAGGATATAGATGAATGACGATTTGATCAAAATACACACAACATATATCTCATTCTCTCTTTGTTTCAATGAATAGGAATTTCAGAATTATAACAATATCATCCAAATAATTATTCTCTCTACAAATATATTGAAATGATACTAATGCATAACTGTATTTATAGAAACATAACGAAAAAAGTGTTGAAAAGGAATATTCTTAGATAAATTATGAACATATAAAAATGGATATATACCTATTTATATGAAGCAATACATAATATATATAATTCAATGTTCGTCGTGGCATATAGCCAGGAAAGTAGTTGTTTTCTATTAATTTCTATCAATAATAATTTTTTTCTGATCTAGTTTCTGGTTAGATACCAACTTGTGATATGTCATTAAGAAGGGAATTGAATGCTGAATGAAGGGAAAAGAAAAAAAATAGGGTTTCCATTTAAAATAAGAAAGTTGATGTTACTTCCGGTCAGACCGGAAGTTAACTTCGACATGTCAATATGCTCAAATTCTAGCTCTTATGTCATTATATCGACGCTTCAAATTTCACAAACCTACTTCAAACAATAACTGAGATATTCCGTAGGCAATACTTCCGTAGCCACCCGGTATATCTATTTTTGTATGTTTATAATTTATCTGAGAATATTCCTTTTCAACACTTTCATACCCAATCAGGGGGTTCAAACTTGAACGATGAAAACTTGTGATTTTTATAGACCTCTAATCGCAGATTCGTGATAGAGTCTCAATTCAGAATTTCTTTCCACGCCCTGTATGATGAATATCAATTTATCATACACCCAAAAGCAATAACGAAAAACAATCCAAAAATGTAAAAAAAATTGATTATTTTTTTCAAGTCTTAGAACCGTAGAAAAATTGTGAATTGAACGAACTAGAGTAAGATCGGTTAATCTCTTAGTAAAGTAGTTAATAAAAATCATATGATTATCCGATTTGAAAAATATTAGTTTCCGATTTTCTTTGGCAACTGCCAGCAACTGTATTATATGCCGAAATAAGGGAATGTGAACAGAGAACAGAATAACCCGGAGTAAAATATATAGTATTTAATCTATATACAGTGTGTCCCACTTACCATGCTCACCATGGGTATCTTTTTAACGGTGAGAGATACGAGGTCGCTTAAATGACACCAAATGTGGAGTTTGTCAAGGCCAACTGTAATATGAAAAAATATTTTGATAAAATCTATTCGTTTTTGTTTTATACGCAAAAAACAGATTTTGATCATTTTCATGTCTCCTCCGTAACTTCTTTATTAATGAAAATATTCAAATAGGAATTTCTCATTATCATGGCAGTTTTTCAAAGTGATTTCGAAAAAAATATGAAATTTATACCAACTCTTCTCGAATTTGAGATATCAGCACCAACTTTAGTTTTTTAAATGTAGGTCATAACTCACTATGATTTAGTTACAAATTACTTTTTTTTCTCTTACAGATGATATGTCGCAGTAATAGTTTTGTGTTGATAACAACGGAGTTATCGTCATCTATACAAAAACAAAAAATTATTTGGAAGCCGCCATCTTGAATTTATAAATTTTAACAAAAAAATCATGATCTCCGACCTCAAAAACCCCCACTTACCAATTTTGAATGGCATCGGACCAAATCTTGTCCGCCATCTTGGAGCAGCCATTTTTTTTAATTTCAACAAAAATTCCATAACTCCTATTAACTTGAAATTTGGCAGGTGTTCATAATTTCGGTGACAATACATTATGGAATTTTTGTTGAAATAAAAAGAATGGCTGCTCCAAGATGGCAGACAATATTTGGTCCGATTCCATTCAAAATTGGTAAGTGAAGGTTTTTGAGGTCGGAGATCATGATTTTTTTGTTAACATTCATAAATTCAAGATGACGGCTTCCAAATAATTTTTTGTTTTTGTATAAATGACGATAACTCCGTTGTTATCAACACAAAACTATTACTGCGACATATCTTCTGAAAGGGCAATAAAAATTATTTGTAACTGAGTCATAGTGAGCTATGACCTACATTTGAAAAACCAAAGTTGGTGCTGATATCTCAAATTCTAGAAGAGTTGGTATAAATTTCATGTTTTTTTAGAAATCACTTTGACAAACTGCCATGAGAATGTGAAATTCCTATTTGAATATTTTCATAAATAAAGAAGTTACGGAGGAGACATGAAAATGATCAAAATCTGTTTTTTGCGTATAAAACAAAAACGAATAGATTTTATCAAAATATTTCTTCACATTATAGTTGGCCTTGACAAACTCCACATTTGGTGCCATTTAACCGACCTCGTATCTCTCACCGTTAAAAAGATGGTGAGCATGGTAAGTGGGACACACTGTATATGAATATACCATAGAATATACTAATAATCTCCCTGACATATATCTAATCTCGTTTATTATCTTCATTATCTTCTTTTTTTATGTTCATTGAATGATAGCTAAATACGTACGTTCCATTTTGTTGCAGCTAGTTTCTCGACGATAAGATGGCCAAATCAAAAAACAATGATGGTTTAGGTAAGTTACAATATTGTTAACTTTTTTGAATTGACTTGGCCGTTACTTGATGAAAATCTATGGTAAATGTAAAAACTTCACAAACGATAAGATTTCCACAAAATTCTCAAACACACGACATGTTTCGCTAACACAGTAGCTTCTTCAGGTGATATACAATGGTCCAGTGAACTAAATATCCTACTTTCCGAACTTGAAGAATTAGTTATCTGTGGACAGGTTCGATAAACCTTCATTTTCGGAAATTGGGAACAATATCAACATTATGTACCGGATTAACTTGAATGGGTCAAACTCAACTGTGGATCGTGTCCTAAGGTATATATCGGTCAGACAGGTCTAACGTTTACCCAGCGCATTCATGAACATAAGATGAATTATTTGAACGAGGAAACAAATTCAACATACGCCAACCATATATAAGAAGAAAACCATAGATTTTTTGTGACGGGAAAAAAGTTTGGCATTTCATCTCTGTTGGCAGGTTATAAAATGTCACTTTTCATAAATTACTTTTTTCCCGTGGGAAAAAAGTGAGTAATTTTTTCCCGGATATATATCACATCCATATACACTGTTGATGGCTTTTGTTGTGCTATAGTTCCGAAAAATGAGTCAATAATACTGTCTCTGAGAAAGAACTGCTAGTCCTTTTATCTTCCATTCGACTTCGCGGTTACGTATATTACTAAACAACCACTAAATTCGCAATTTCTTGAAATCAAATCACAGAATTAGACTGACAGAAGTGACATCAGATATTTGATTACTTCAAAATAATGATAAAGATGCCTACAACGCAGGTGTCCCTACTGTTAAAAAATGTCACGTCGATAATTTTCAGATTTCAAAATAATGTAATATCTTCTCAATATTGATTCGTCCCTTCTTCTATCACAGAAAAAAATAGTGTATTATACACGGGAAAAATATTAGATTTCAGCTCACGGTTTTTTGTCTTCCTCCGCTACGCGTCGGGAGACAACACAACCTGTAGCTAAAATCTACTACTTTTTTCCCTTGTATAATAAATAACTATTTGATGATAATTTCGAAATTCTACACGTGAAAAATGAAGGAATGAAACTCAATCATTTTGAATCATTGGAAATCAACAAGCTCAAAAATTTTGAAATTTTACTTAACAATCAATTAGACCTCAAAAGTCACCACTGTTGCGAATTTGTTTTCCCAATAGGTAATAATATGTATTTGCTATCAACCCTTTCAAGTTAATTTCCGAAAATGAAGGTTTATGGAACCTATCTCCACAGGTAACCCAGCGAGCACAAAAACATCTCAGAGATGTTAAAAGTACGAGATTTCGAGACATTGAACCTCCACTGCGATGTTCTGTTCACACATGAATAAAACTATTATAGAACAGCCAATGTCCACAGCAGGTGGCAATTATCGAGATGTCCTTGATATGTCACAAAACTACCTTCTCCCTAGTTCTTTTTAAAGCCTTTTCATGGACACAACAAAACATTTTCAACGCGTCTTGCGCACAATAAAAATCGCTGTAAAAAAACCATTTTCGAGGTACTTTTCTGAAGCCATTTGTCAAAATGAACTTTTGCATTAGGATTCCATTTCCCTTGAATGAAAAAATGCATTAAAAATAGATTGAACATAAAAATATTTTCTTGATATGAAATTACCTTCTTAATCGGTTTCTGAGTAGTGCTTACTACACACAGACATATAATTGGAAATAGGTTTCCCAATTTTTGAAATGTTCTCCACAATGCATAATTTTGCAACTGCGGAGAAGCTGTGTATTGATAAATTCGTACTTTTATATATTGATTACACTGAGGCACCGAACAACACATCTTGCATCTGATGGTCATTATTACAAACTAAATAAGTCTTCTATCACAATAAACTTCATCAAATTTCTTTCTGTTCGTTAGCAGCGTGATGTAATAGCGTGACACGCTGCAAACGCGAACGCCAATTGCGAACAAGAAGAACAAATTCGAAAACAAATCAGAATTCATCGTATTGTGACGTAAGCATGAGACAGTGTGGTGGGGCAAACAAAGAAAGGGCACAAAAGAACAAAAACAATACAAGATCTCTTTGGGAAGTGCATATTACGCCTCAAAAAAAACATCCTCATGCCTACATTTCTAAAACATCTCAAAACATCCCAGGGATACCTCTCAGTAGGCAAACAAAGAAATGCCACAGAAGAACAAAAACAATACTTCAATATCCTTCAAAGACCTCTTTGGTCAGTGCATATTACGTCTCAAAATAACATCTTCATGCCAATATTTTCAAAACATCCCAAAACATCCCAGGGATGTTTGTGCTCGCTGGGAACTAATCCTTCATGTTGGGAAACTAGGATATATAAATGTTAAGGAAGCGGAGGTTCATTATTTAGTTCATTGTACCAGTATATCACCTGACGAAGCTACTGTGTTAGCGAAACATGTCGTGTGTTTGAGAATTTTGTGGAAATCTTATCGTTTGTGAAGTTTTTACAATATCGTTATGAAATACCATGAAATGTAAATTAACTGGTTCCATTTCATGTGAACCAATTTGAATGTCCCCTTACTCCCCTTCTGGGAGTGCATGAAAGCTGACTCTACTTTATATCAGGGCTCCACCGACATAGCTTTTGATATACCTTATCTTACTGATTTTGACTAATTAGTTATTAGTTAACATTGTTAAATTGTTAACACTGTATTTCTCGCCTTTACGGAAGCAATAAATAATCGTATCGTATAGAGATAGCTAAACGTAGCCCAAGCACACGGGGTGCTTTGCTTTATGCCCACATTTCGTTACTCCCACATCGCGTTGTTCCCACATTTCGTTATGCCTACATTGCGTTACACCTACATTTCGATCGGCCCACATTTCGTTAGCCCCACATATCTTTATTCCCATTGTCTTTGAACATACAGATGTGGGTGTAACACACTGTACGTTAGACTCACAATGCCTAGTACACGCGTCCCTCTATGGCTTCCTGAATTCCGAATACGTATTATGAGGAAGGAAAATATCCTCTCTGCATAAGAAAAGAGACTACTTTCTCTGAACATCCTAACCTTGCTCGGCCTGAATGAACCTCCTTCCTAGCAAATATATTTTTCTGACTATTACTTGAGAGAGCAAAAGAGACTATACTTTTTCAAAACAATCTAACCTAACTCGGACTAAATAAACCTTCCTTAATAGTATACTGTTCGATGAATTGCTTGAGGGAACAGGGGATACTACTTTATCTAAACAATCTAACCTAACTCAGCCTAAATCAACCTTTTTCCTAAAAAGTATATTTTTGGAAAATTACGCATCAAGCACATATGGCAACAGTGCATCCTTCGGGTATGTTCGGACACTGTGGGAATATGGAAATGTGGGGCTAACGAAATGTGGGCATATCGAAATGTAGGTGTAACGCAATGTAGGCATAACGAAATGTGGGCATAAAGCAATGTGGGTGTAACGAAATGTAGGTGTATCGCAATGTGTCGATTGGCCCACAATGACAGTTCCATTGACTTCTGGTAGTGGGTGTATCGAAATATATGGGGCTAACGAAATGTGGGCATATCGAAATCTGGAGGGAACATGTAATGAATAAAACCTTTACGATTTGTAGGCTTTAATACGCAAAAACTACAGCGTTCATTTAACTAATGTCAAATATATGACAAATTATAAACAAATTTTGATGGATATAGAAAACAATGTGATAGTGAAGTACAGGAGGTTTATGAATTATATAACATTCTCCCTGGGTTATTTTTGTATGTAATCTTCCAGATAGAGGGGTGTTTTCCGAGGTCTTGTAGATGAACGAATCAAATGAGTTTCCAATAGATTTGTTGTACTACTTTCAGGTAAATTGTTTGTCTCTTTATTTACGACATTTTCTTGGTGACTAGTCGAAGTTGTTTCAATAGGTGCAGTATCATTATTTTCGGTGATTGCTTGGTTAGTAATTGTCGTTTCCGTAGTCTGGTCTGATGATTCATTGAATATGTTTTCTGTATTTTCGTTCAGGAGTGAGCTTCTGTCTCCTCTTGGGGCTAGATGTTTCAAAGATACTGTAGATTCTACTCCATTTCGGTGTTTTATGAGGGCGTACTCTGGATTTGCATGTAGTAGCTCCACCTCTTCTACCAGTGGGTCATATTTACTACGCCGATGTTGATTTCGCAGAAGAACGACGTCAGAAGACTTCAACCACGAAGGCACAGAGGTACCACTGGTTGAACGTCTTTGATAGCTGAATAACCGTTCATGTGGAGTGCAGTTAGTTGACGTACATAATAATGATCTGATAGAATGTAGAGCATCAGGTAAAACAGTTTCCCACTGCATAGGTCTCAGTTGCCTGGTTCTCAAAACCAAATTAATTGTCTTCCAGATGATGCCGTTGTATCTTTCCACTTGTCCATTGCCTTCTGGGTTATATGGTGTAGTTCGACTCGTAGATATGCCTCGAGAATGTAGATAATCAGTTAATTCCTGTGACATGAATGATGTTCCCCTATCCGAGTGAATATACGAGGGCATCCCAAATATTGAAAACAATTGATTGAAACATCCAATGACAGTAGTTGTTGTCATGTCTGAACAGGGAAAAGCAAACGGAAAGCGTGAATATTCGTCTACTACAGTTAACATATACTTATTGTTGGTACAACTTGGTAGGGGTCCCTTGAAGTCAATATTTAGTCGTTCGAATGGTGAAGTAGCTTTTATAAGGTGGCTCCCAATATTCTTATGAAATTTTGGCTTCAACTCGGCACAAATTGGACAAGAAGTTGTCATATTCCTAACGTCTTCTATAGAATACGGTAGATTTCGCACTCTCACGAAATGGTACATTCGGGTAATTCCAGGGTGACATAAAGATTCATGTAATGTATAGAGTTTTTCTTTGGAACTTGCTGAACATATTCTTGAAAGGGCGTCTGCAGCTAAGTTCGAACGGCCTGGACGATATACAATGTCATAATTATAACACGACAACTCAAGGCGCCAGCGTATGATTTTTTCGTTTTTAATTTTGCTTGCATGTCTCATATCAAACATGAATGATACGGCTTCTTGATCTGTCACCAGTTTGAACTTTCGATTTATGAGAAAGTGTCTCCATTTTCGTATTGCTTCAACACATGCGTATGCTTCTTTCTCTACAGATGAATGATGGCGTTCAGATTGGGATAAAGTCCTTGAAAAGAATGCTACTGGTCTACTGGACTGGGTCAAGGTGGCTGCTATGGCGAAATCAGACGCATCTGTTTCTACAACAAGAAGTTCATCTTCTTTGATAGTCCATAAGAGTGATTTAGCTATATCCTCTTTGATGTTTTCAAAATCGTTGATTACATTTTGTGGTAGAGGAAATGTTTTGCAATCAATGAGACTTCTAACTTTGTCTGAAAACTTTTGAATCCATTTGGAATAATGTGAGAAAATACCTATCACACGTTTGAGGCTGGCCGCGTCATTGGGAACAGGATAATTAATAAGTGGCTTAAGACGATCTGGATCTGGTTTGAGTGTTCCGTTTTCTATGGTATAGCCAAGAAGACTTATTGAACTCTTCGAGTAGGTACATTTGTTTTCATTCAATGTTAAACCATATTTTGAGGCAGTGCTTAAAAATTTTTTCAGATTCTTGTCATGATCTTCTTGAGATTTTCCGCATACGGTTACGTCGTCTAAGTAAGCGAACACTCCTTCTAAATACTCTTTAGATATTATGGAATCGATAACTCTTTGAAAACAAGAAACGCCATTTGTCACCCCAAATGGAATTCTCTTGAACTGGTATAGTTTACGAGCTGCCTCAAAAGCTGTGAACGGTTTGTCCTTTTCTTGTATAGGTATTTGGTGGTACGCGCTTTTCAGGTCTATGGTACTAAATACCTTATATTTTGCCACATTTGAAACGATATTTTCTATATTGGGAATCGGATACGCATCAAGTAATGTAAATTTATTAATTGTCTGTGAATAATCGATAACCATTCGTCGCTTGTGATTTTCACTTCGGGTTACTAACACTTGGGCTCTCCATGGGGAAGTACTTTCTTCAATGATATCTTCGTTCAGTAAACTCTTTATTTCATCTCTAATGAATTGTTCATCGTCATCTGAATGTCTTCGAGATTTGGTTGCAACCGGACGGCAGTCTTGATTAAGATTGAATAGCAATGGTGGTTCTACTTTTGCTTGTACTAGGCAGCAGAATGACAGGGCAGGCTTTGGTCCTCCAAATATTACATTCACTTGCGTGTGTTGCTTCATGATGTCATGACCAATGATGATGTCAGAGCAAAGGTTAGACAGAACAGCTATCTTGAAGTTGACATATTGAGCATCGAGTAGTTGAAGGTCTACAAAACAGTATCCGTGTATAGTAGAAGAACATAGCGTGGAAGCCATGGAAACTTGACCGTGAGAGGGTTTTATTGGAAACATATGTTTTCTTGCAAAATTGTAATCGATGAAACTATCAGAGCTCCCTGTATCAATTAGAGCTTGTGCAGAAACGTTATTCAATTTAATATTGATAAGTGCTTTTGAAAGACAGTGTGTTGTTTGAAATGACGCAGAAGCAATTAAAGATGTAGAAGCTGACGTTGGATTGTTGCTTTTCGAAATTCTGCTATTCTTTGATCGCATGCACACTTTGGCAAAATGTCCAATTTTTTTGCAGTATGTACAAGTTTGTTCTCGTGCTGGGCAATTGATTCTCGGATGTCGATTATTTCCACAAAAGTAACATCGCTGTGCTGTTATATGATTGATGCTACCCGATATTTCCTCCGATTGTTCCATCAGTTGAGTTGAATTTATGTATTTTTCTGTAGATATGTATTGCAAAGATTGTTTTCGAGCTTCTTCTAATGACCGGGCTTGAGAAACGGCGTTATCCAAATTCAGAGTATTATTCTCTAGTATACGTTGTCGTATCTCACTTGACTGAAGGCCACTGATGAAGGCGTCCCTTATAAATTCGCTTTTATTTTGTTCTGATGACACTGATTTGAAACTACAGTCTTTGCTTAGCACTTTTAAAGCTTGTATATATTGGTCGATGGTTTCTGTAGGTAACTGCTTACGAGTACCTAACACATGTCTGGCAAATACTTCATTCACAGGTTTTATATATATTTCATCAAGTACCTTGAGAGCTCTGTCGAAGTTTTCGCATTCACTAATGTAGTCGTAAACAGAATGTGATACAAAATTGGTTAAAAGTTTCAGTTTACTAGTTGAGTCCAGTGTATTTGCACCATCAGATATTTCTAAGAAGTTCTTGAACGTTCTGAGCCAATGTGTCCATTCCTTCGCTGCATTCGTTGAGCTTGGATCAGTTTCGAATCTTTCTGGACGCATAAATTTATCCATGATTCATCAATTTTGCGTATTAAATTGTAATGAATAAAACCTTTACGATTTGTAGGCTTTAATACGCAAAAACTACAGCGTTCATTTAACTAATGTCAAATATATGACAAATTATAAACAAATTTTGATGGATATAGAAAACAATGTGATAGTGAAGTACAGGAGGTTTATGAATTATATAACAGAACACGACCGCGATGTCGGAGTAACGAAATGTGGATGTAACGACACGCTCCCAGCACACGAGCTCTCATCTCATTTCCGAGCGAGTTCTGAACACAATTTTCCTAACCATCTCTATAAATATGAATTTCATGAAACAATTATATCAGTTTGATGGAGCTTAAATTTCAAACTCGAAATGCACTTTTTGTTGATAGTCAAACTTCTGCTAGTCAGCAACAGACATTTTGAATTGAGGTCTTTTCTATCTTGAACGAGAGAGAGGAAAGTTCTCTCCTCGTCCATCTTTCTCTTCAATGCTACCAACGTGGCCGCATTGAAATATAGAGAGGTCCGATAAATCTTTTCTTGTCTAACTTCTAGTCTTTGCCACTGAACTATTTTCGATGTTATAATGATATTCTTTCCTTCTGAACTAATATTTCACTTGGACTGAACTGAATCTGTTAACATGCATTCTGACTAATCATATTCTTTGGAAAGAACACATAATAGCTGATTCAGGTTCAGTTCTGACGTGATATGTCTATGTCATGAATGTCATTGACTGATGACATTTAGAATTTTCGAAATGAAATTTTGATTTATAACATAAGTACTTATTTTGACATAATTTGTTAATATCGTTGAATTTCACACTCTGCTTAATTGAAAAATAGTTCAGTGGCACAAACTATAGATGTTAGACAAGGAAAGATTTATCGGACCTCCCTATATTTCAATGCGGCCACGTTGGTAGCATTGCAGAGACAGATGGAAGAGGAGAGAACTTTCCTTTCTCTCGTTCAAGCTAGAAAAGGCTTCAATGGGGCTAATCCATTTGTTTTAGGGGAACCCCTGGAGTATGATCCGGATTTCAATGGACCATTGAAAAGGCGATCTTGTACGGATGTTCTTTGTTTAGGTCTTTTTATCGTATTTATTGCAATATGGATCGGGATAGGATTATATGGTAAGTACTAAAGAGAAGTTTATAATCTAGAAATGTAAAACTTTTATATTAGGCAAGGTGACCACATAGATTTCCTAAAATAAATTCTCAAAGAAATGCTCCCTATTGAATACGACGAAGAATCGTCAGCGGTACTAAATTGCTATAAAATTGTTCTTATCCATCATGCAGTTGCCCCCTCACGAGCAACCCTCAGAAGTCTTCAAGAGACTTGTAGGAATGACGGGGGTCTTACCTTTTAACATGTGATCCCAAACACTTTCTTAAGCCATCAGAAATATTTCTGCGGTCGTGGTGGGAATCGAACCCACTACTGGTAATCCAACGTGGATAGAACATTGACGCTTTATAACCACGAGGCTCGCTGGCCACATAGTCACATAGTCATGTTGGATAAATCTGCATATTTTGGTATTTACTACCTGTAAATCAGAGTACTGACGTCACAAGTACTATAAGGAACAGCGTTACCGTCGCAACCCATACTTTATCTTGCTTGGATATTTAAAAACAAATTTATTTCCGATTCAGAATACACTCTAAAAACATCAGACAGAGAACCATCCTCACCATGCCGCAACACAGAAATACATGTTTTCAAAGATGTTTGGTATTCAATGCTATTCAAATGTATAATATTTTACCTGACTAACTTGAAGTTTATAATATGAATAAGTTCAAATATAAATTGAAGAAGCATCTACTAGATACGCAGTCTTGATAAAACATTATTCAGTACATATCCTTCATGTCGTAGATTTTTTTTATCACTCGAAATTCTATTATTTGTATTGCTAGCAATTAATTATTAAGTACCCATTATATGTATTGCATTTTGCTGTCTCAGTCAATTTTCTTCGCCAACAGTCTATGTAAGGTTTTTTTTTCATGTATTTCACGTATTCAACTAATTCATTTTTCTACAATTGTCAAAAAACTGCACTTTATTAATAAATGTGGTGTGCCTAAAGTATACCATTTTTCAATATCAAAATGGCTGGTAGGCTGTTTTGTTCGACTCAAGTCTGTTCGAACAAAAATGACGTAGAACCGAAGTGTGTGGCTGCAAAATGGTCGTTTTCGCTAGCCACACACCACACACTTCGGTGTTACGTCATTTTTGTTCGAACATACTTGTTCGACGAACAAAACAGCCCACCACCAACGCAGTATATGGGCTCCTTTACGGGATTCAGCAAGTCAGCAAGCGAACAAATCAAGACGACTGACTTCGTATTCCGTATGGAGTGTCAGTGAAATAGAGATGGGAATGGGAAGAAGGCGCCACGATATCCTCGCGTATTAGATAATAATATGTTCGCATCTCATGTATGATTTGATCAGCATCGGCTCTTTCGTCCTTAGAAACCAGGTATTATCAATAAAGTGACATGAAATGATAATAATTGCGATACATCATTTTCAATCATTTACATCATGAGTTGAATGAGGTTGTCCTCTTTTTTAACAGTTGTAGGAAAAATATTGTATGTAACACGTACTTAAAGTGTTTTTTTCCTGGTGTTGCCGTACTCCTTCGGTGTCGTGCTTAAGCATTTCCTACTCGTGAAAAAAAGTACCACTTTACGCACTTGTTACATAAATAACTATTGTGTTCTTTCCCATGGATCAATAAACTCAACACGTAGACATACCTACATACCTCCCGAATCGTCAACGATTTTTGTACTTTCGGGAGAATGATTATGCGATTATCAAGAGAGTGATCCCACGAATATCCGAAATCCATCAGCCGTATCCCAAAACGTCAGGTTTTTTTAATTTTCGAACATATTTCAGCGATATTGAACGGGGATCCAAGTATGCTGTTGGTGCCAAAAGATTCTTCTGGCCGTAGGTGCGGTAAGGATACCTCCGTCAAAGATAAGCCCTACCTATTATTTTTCGATCTGACAAAATGTCTGGAACCAACTGTCCCGTTCACCGGATGCCATACTCCCCAGGTAAAAAATATAAGTCGAGCTTTAAACTAACTACACTACTATCTAGACCGCTATACCGCTAATACCATAAGAGAGAAGGTAAGCCACTCACAAGATCGAACTGGTGAAGACGATTCCCACGCATGTAGGACCTGTCATAATATATACTCTAACTCTTGTTTCCGAAACTTTCGAGCTTTGGTCTAGATAGTACTTATATAGGTCAGTGTTGGCATCTAGCACTCACAGATACGCTACTGACCAGTGGAATGTGCTTATGTCACTGACCGACTATCACAGACATGTGCAAATACTGATTCGTTAGTGCTCGACGATAAGTCGAGCTGCGGAGTATGTCCCTTGTCGTTACCACCGATACAACAAGGCCAGCAGACGTAAACAGCTCGTGACGTCACCAAGAGAGGCCAGTGTTTTATTTTATCGCTTGTCGACTAACGCGTCAGTTCGTGTTAATTCATCGGTGATTCACGTATGTTTTTGAAACGGTCCCGAATTCTTTTGTTGTTTATTCATCAAAATAATTGGCGGAAAAGTTACTGTTTTGTGAAATATTTTGTGTTGTGATCGGCGAAATAACAATGCCTTTCAAGTGTTGTGTTCCCTTTTGTCGGGGGAATTATGTGGGTGGTTCAAAAGTTCATGCTTTTAGTTTCCCGTTGGACGAGGAGCTATCGAAAATGTGGGTATATATGCAATTCACCGCGAGGATTTTACTCCATCTAAGTTCAGTAGTAAACAGAGCTTAATTTATAATGATGAATTAATAATAGAAGACAATTACTCTCTCATAACAAGTATAAGTAGAGGAAAAATAGAAAAGCTTTGATTGTGCAGTTAGTTTTGTATTCGTATATTATAGTCAACAAAATCATCTCTGAATTCGAGGAACTTTTCTTGAATGTTTGTAATAAACGGGCATTTTTAATTCTCATTCTCAAATTTCTTTCTGAAAACGGTCATTTGCCTCGTGGCAATGAATGCAGAATTCATTCCAATGATCAAATTGCAACTATCATATTAACATGAACTACAAACACTCTACTCAAAGAAGGTAAAACTGCATTTATCATGATATTTATCATGAAGATATTTGACTGAAAAGTTCCAAATTTCACCTTCTTTTTCACCTGTCTTCTGGATGGCATTTAGAACAAATTTCCCTTCTTTTTTCATCATATTGGACAATTTATATATAATTCAACTATAAATATGATTTTCTTGAGATTAATCCATATTTAGTGAAAAGAAGGAAGAATATCATTCAAAATAATGGCGTGTGTAATGTCATTCGAAAGCAATCTATTGACATTTGACATCTCGTATTTTTATTGACTATTGATTAAATGGTCGTCATCTGGAATGCTTGTTCACTAAATATGAAAAACTCGCCATAAAAATCATATTTCCTGTTGAATTTTCTATATAAAAATGTGCCATCGAAGTACATCATGAGTATATGAAGTGTCCAATGACAAAATAAGAGCAAGTAGCTTCAAATGCCCCCAACACAAGGGGAGAAAGAAGGCGAAATTTCGAACTTTTTCTTGAAATATCTCAAAAAACAGTGGTTTGTTCACATTTTCATTATAAAATTCGGTTTAACAGACAAAAATACGTGAGTACCGAAAAAAATAAAAAAAAAAACCATCGCATGATAAATGCAGTTTCACCCTTAAAAATTACGGTTTCAAGTGTAACGATCCACTTGGGTGAAAAATCCAACAACAGAAAATTGAAAAAACTCACTGGTTATTTTTTCAGGTAATAGGAATTCTCCAAGATAAATATAGGTAATTGTAAATTGTAAATAAAATCGAATGGGATGCGAAGAATAAGGGCTCGATTGACGACTGGCATCCTTTTTTAACCGGAAGCCCTTCAAAAAACAGCAAAATCGGCTCAATGATGATCTAAAACTAAAATCGAAATACGCGGTCGCCTTATAGCGCTATAAACGCTTGTCGTTTCGAGCCGCTGGTTAGGCCTCACTAAGTGACGTCACCCACGGAGCATGCAGGCCTTGTTGTATCGGTGGTAACGCCCTTGTCCGTTTATATACGTGATAGTGTTCGCGTTCATTTAATTATGAAGTGTGGATAAAGTACCCAGTGAAGTGGCAAAAGTCCATTTTTTGGCGATTTCACTGCAAAACAAATAGCCAGGCGGTTTATTTATGTAGTGCATTAGCGGCGTTTTGATGTTTTTTGATTGAACTTTAGAGTCTTGTCAGTATTGAGAGGGTCCAGAAACAAAAAAATTAGTGTGCAAACTGAAATCTAGGTTTTCTCCATTGTTCGTCACATGGGCCTTCTGGCAAGGTGGGTTGACAACTGGGCCTTGTGGCAAGGTGAGTTGAAACCTAGACCTTCTGGCAAGTTGTGTGCTTTCTGGGGATATTGAACGAGCTCCGAATGACATGAAAATTAGTCAGGATGAAACCGAGCTTGTTGGGCCGTCAGCGTCCCAATTTTAGAATTGCGGTCTAGCAATCTCAGATACGCTACTGACCAGTGGAATGTGCTTATGTCACTGACCGGCTATCACAGACATGTGCAAATACTGATTCGTTAGTAATCGTTAGTGCTCGACGATTAGTCGAGCAGCGAATGAGTATGTCCCTTGTCCGTTTATATTGTTGATAGTGTTCGCGTTCATTTAATTATGAACGTGAGCAAATATCAGAAGTGTGGATAGAGTACCCAGTGCCTTGGTGAAGTGGCAAAAGTCAATTTTTCGGCCAATGCTCCGATGAACCAACAATATTTGAAGATGAGGGTCCGGCCAGTAACAAAAAGTTCCGTGTTCGAACCTGAAATCTAGTTTTTCTCCATTGTTTGTCACGAATGGGCCTTGTGGCAAGGTGGGTTGACACCTGGGTCTTGTGGCAAGGTGGGTTGACACCTAAGCCTTCTGGCAAGGTGGGTTGATACCTAGGCCTTCTGGCCAAATGTGTGCTTTCTGGCGATATTGTTAAAAGTTTATTGGAAGAAATGATAGATAGATACGTCAAACAATGTTGAATACATGAATGTTTATTGAAAAATGTCGTAGAAATACATTTTCATTTCATAATCCCAATAATTCTTATAACTTTCTTCCTGAATTTATTCGAATATTGTGATTATTTGCAAGAATAAACACACAAAGCTGGCGAAATTGGCGAGATCCCGCGGGATTGTTATTCCTGAACTCGAGAGATCTCGACTGTATGTGTCCCTTGTCCGTTTATATTTTTGTGATAGTGTTCGCGTTCCTTTAAACATGAAAGTGAGCTCACAGTTAGTGAACTTGAGTGGAGGAGAATCCCATAGTAATCGATGGCGTTTTTCAGGTATGTGTCTCTTCATGTCCATCCGAATTCTATTTGGAGAAGAATGGAACGGTGATGCATCAGCATTTCGAAGAGTACTGCATTCAGCAGGGAGCAGAGCCAGTAGAGCCACAGTGTCCAGAATGGTTACTGCCCAGTCAACCTTGTGAGTAACAATCACATCCATACTTTATTTCACATTTAGCGCTAGATCAATTTAGATTTTCGGAAATTTCGTTCAAGATCACTAAAAACCTATACTTTGATTCCTGATTCGATTATTTTGTGTATGTTTTCCCAATTGAATAGGCTCAGTAATTTAAGTATTGAGATGTCTCTAGATCGAACCGCAGAATAGAGGTACTGGTTATTTATAGAGAAGCCATTGATGGGTTGTCCTTCTTTTCTCCTTTCTGAGTTGCTTCGTTTCTTTTTTCCTTCTTCAATTCCTCCCTTCAATTCTTGTTTCCTCCATCCATTCCTTTCCTCCCTCCCTCTCTCTTCCTCTCTCTTTCTCTCTCTTTCTTCCTCTCTCTTCCTCCTTCTACTCTCTTCCTCCTTCTTCTCTCTTCCTCCTTCTCTCTTCCTATCTATTCCTTCATCTCTCTTCTTCTCACTTCCTATCTATTCCTTCATCTATCTTCTTCTCATCTCATCTCCATTCCCCTATATTACTCCTCCATTTATATCTATTCCTTCCTCTTCCTCTTCTTCGTTTCAAGAGGGAAACTTACAACTTACTCATTTACAGACTCTCATAGTGAATTAAATTAACGTTCCAATAATGTTCATGCATTTTACTCAAGGATTTTATTCAGTTCTGAACCGATGTTTGTACAACGTGGCTGACAGAAAAAAATTGAGTAGTTTGGACGTGTACAAAGTAGGAGGAGACGAAATATCAGCAATCAAAGAACTACTCAATCCTATTCGTCAATGGATGTCGCTAGTAGTTCAAAATGGTGTTGCCATATTTACGAAAAGCGATAATGCGCAACAGGTATACTTCATTGATCATCATAATATCACCCCATCACTATATATATATATATATATATATCTCTTTGTGATCGAGATATTCGCAGCAATGTTTTAGTTGGTGATGATAAATATACAGTGCATTATTCCATTCAAAACAAGTCACAAGTAAATCATCAAATTACTTCACCCCCTATCTTCCTGTTTTTCAGTAACTGCGGCAATTACTCCAACTATATTTTTGTGATGAGTCATCCCAGAACACACGAACAATGGATGTCCGATGGATGTCCACTATGGACATTACGAATATCCATTGGACGCCCGATAATGTCCAGAGGGGCATCCAATGGATATCCATCGGATATCCATTTGTCACAAAATTGGACATCCAATGGATGTTGATTTTGATCCAGATGATGGATATATCTTAAAAGTGAGAAATAAAAATGGCAGGTATACGGGATTCGAACCCGGGATCGCTACTCCACTGGCCATTATGCTCCTTGCGAATGTTCAAAATATTTATAGAGGAAGAATAATTCTCATGGAAAATGAGACACATTAGTCTAATAATGATTTCAAATACTTATTTATTTTCATGAAACCACTGAATGCTGAGCAAATATATCAAATGACATTAAAAACATGAACTCACCATTCGAATGTAAAGAATTAATCGATTGGCAAATGGTACACATCGTGTTATATTTCGATTCGACCAAAGGATGTACAAAGAAAGTCCAATGGACCTCCAACATTCAATTAAATCTTCACGTCCAGTATGGACGAAAACTGAATGTCCAGTGAATGTCCCTAAACGGATGTCCATCGTACTAGTGGTTAATGGACATCTATTGGATGTTCATTCAGTGCCATGTCCATATGGACCCAGCATGGACATCATATGAATATCCATAGGATATCCTGTGTTTACTGGGATACTCCCCAAGTTTTCAAATGCAAGAAAGCATTGAGTGATACATTTGAGAAAGATGGCTCGTTTTGAATAGAATATGCATTGCATACAACTTGTATTCGAGAAACACTCAATGCATGAGAATGAATGATGGTCATTTAATGTATGAACGTATGTACATACTAAGTATAACTTTACTTTCTATCACTAAGGGTGCTCATGGATTTCCAATATAAACTCACCATATCATACCAGACGTGAAAAAAATTATACATGGTGTGAAATAATGAAACAAATCTCCATAGCAGACAGGTTTTCGATGATTTCTGTTCGACTACCAAGGACTTAAGCCATTAACCATCGGTACAAAAAGGCTAGGAGATGAAGAAACCTCTTGAAAAATTTCCACGACATTTAATAATAATAATTATTCTGAAAATTTTTCTAAAATTGTTCTTATCCATCATTCGGTTGCCCCTTTACGAGCAACCCTCAGAAGTCTTCAAGAGACTTGTGCGAGCAAGGAATGACGGGGTCTTAACGTGTGATTCCAAACACTTTCTTAGGTCATCAGAAAAATGTCTGCGGTCGTAGTGGGAATCGAACCCACTACCGGTAATCCAACATGGATAGAACATTGACGCTTTAAACACGAGGCTACGCTGTAGAACGTTATAGTACCTTGGGTGCGTTCGATTATGAAGTCTGAGTAGAGTAAACTCAGTTATGAAGGTTTTATCAGTTTACTCTGAGTTATTTACTATTCCCTGTGGTATTTGAACGGAATTTTGGGTTAGTTCATAGACATATTTGATTGACATGAACATATTTGTCTACTTGACAAGTTTCCCAGCGAGCACAAACATCTCTGGGATGTTTTGGGATGTTTTGAAAATGTTGGCATGAAGATGTTTTTTTGAGGCGTAATATGCACTTTCCAAAGAGGTCTAGGATATTGAAAGTATTGTTTTTGTTCTTTTGTGCCCTTTCTTTGTTTGCCCCACCACAACGTCTCATGCTTACGTCACAATACGATGAATTCTGATTTGTTTTCGATTTTGTTCTTCTTGTTCGCAATTGGCATTCACGTTTGCAGCGTGTCACGCTTACATCACGCTGCTAACGAACAGAAAGGAATTTGGTGAAGTTTATTGTGTTAGAAGACTTATTTAGTTTGTAATTATGACCATCAGATGCAAGATGTGTTGTTCGGTGCCTCAGTGTAATCAATATATAAAAGTACGAATTCATCAAAACACAGCTTCTCCGCAGTTGCAAAATTATGCATTGTGGAGAACATTTTAAAAATTGGGAATCCTATTTCCAATTATATGTCTGTGTGTAGTAAGCACTACTAAGAAACCGATTAAGAAGGTAATTTCATATCAAGAAAATATTGTTATGTTCAATCTATTTTTAATGCATTTTTTCATTCAAGGACAATGGAATCCTAATGCAAAAGTTCATTTTGACAAAAGGCTTCAGAAAATTACCTCGAAAATGTTTTTTTTTTACAGCGATTTAATGTGCGCAAGACGCGTTGAAAATGTTCTGTTGTGTCCATGAAAAGGCTCTGAAAAGAACTAGGGAGAAGGTAGTTTTGTGACATATCAAGGACATCTCGATTTATGTGTGAACAGAACATCGCAGTGGAGGTTCAATGTCTCGAAATCTCGTACTTTCAACATCTCTGAGATGTTTTTGTGCTCGCTGGGTTAGTTCAGTCAATTCGGGTTCAATTCATAAAGGAGTAGGTAGGTATTGATCTTATATTCCAGTTGCAATCAAATAATGTTGATTGCCACTTATCAATAATGTTGAGACCACGTCTTTGGTTGTGCTATAATAATATATTAATAAAGCATACGATATAAACCTCAATATAGGTACATAAAATATTTTGAATATTTTATTATCAATACAGAACAGAGTACACACTACAGAACCTTATAATAGTGTCTCACTTTCTGAAGATTTCATGATGTTATTCGAAATCTCAATATGATGTTAAGAAGCACTTGTCAAGTTGGAATGCTTTGAAGATATAAAACGAATCATAAACTGCATTTCATATAGATCTATCATAACTTGAAACCATGGCAGTTTGACACAAACGAATCAAACTTCTTAATCCTTGTTCGCCCTGTGATGACTCTATCAAATCTGTGGAGTAAAATTAACCACCTATTTTGTAGAGTTACAAGAGTTAACTCGGCGTCAAAAACTTCAGGGTATCTACGAACAACATTCAAAGAGTAAAATATACACAATCTAACAAATTTCGAACGCAAATGAGTAAACACCTTTGAGTAAACTCTACTCCATAGAGTAAGTATTTGGATGCACCTTTTGGCTGATAATGGACTTATTATAAGATTATACCCCCCTATTGTAACACATAGATTGAACAAACCATGTTTAATATATGTGTGACATAACCATGTTGACCTATTGAATGTCGTGGAAATGACTTGAGAGGTTTATTCTTTTTCAACTACTACCACTCAACTTATAGCAGGATGGACTTCTTCACACGTTTGAGGCTAGAAGGCTGTGAAATTACTAAAATCTCCATAGTTATACAGGGTGCAATATAAGTACGTTAAAATATTCAAGGGGCGTAGGACAAAATGCACTGGTTCTCGACCAGTTAACCGAAATGTAAAATTTGGTAGTATGGTAGATTCGTGTGAAATCTCATAATATTTCATAGGAGAATTAGGGCAATCTGAAATAAATAATGACAGCGTACGCAGCGTCCTCTAGATGTCATATGAAAATTAATACGAAAATATGATTTCCTACGTCAAAAAACCCCGGGTAGCAAATTTCAGCAGACTTTTTTTTTTGAAATTGTATCAGGAATACGTCCCTAGAATATGTTCAACGTACTTATGTTACACCCTGTATATAAAAAGTTGAAACGTGAAGCCAGCGCGTTTCATGCTTTACTATCATTGAATAGAAATTATTTTGTGCAGTAGAAAAGAGGTGTATTCCGATTTTGGCACAAATCAACGAAAGCATGATCAGTCAAATTCAAAGCGACTTCAGTCTGGACAAATTGAAGTCATCTATAAGAAATATCAAAGTCATCGGCCAAGCAGAAGAGGTAATTTCAGAAGACATCGATTTTGAAAAAAAGTCATCGAATTTTCCTTTGTATTATCGAATAGTGAAAGAGTGGAACCCAATTCTAATAATGATTGGACGAGTGATACCCATACAGTTCTGGGAATATTGAAGATTTAATATGAAATTTGGCAACTCCTTCATTTTTGTTCAACGTACATATATACATCAAGTCGAATTAACCAGGCTGTTGAAGAACACATCAGAAGCTCTAACGTCAGATACAGGGCGTTCTTGAAAGACATGCTGATATTTGAAGGGGTGATTCTTTGACTCATTTTAAGAATAAAACTTTATATGAATGTATGTCCCAAAAGTCTTAACTCTTGAGATACAGGGTGATGAAGTTTTGAAAAATATTCAGTTTCTTGATAATAACTGAGACAATATTGTATACATCTACATGAAATTTAGTACACGTCTTCAATGCATCATGGTGCATTTTATGATGTACACAAATTTTCATTTTCTCTACCAGTGGCACCGTTACGGGAATATTATTGTTAATATTTTACTTAAAAGTGAGCAACGACGGAAAATTTTCAAATTCAGTTATGTACAAAAAAAGATCCTCTTGTTGATACGCGATAGAACGTTTCTTTTTAGAGAAAAAACGGAAGAACCAGACCAGACTTCAAATTTTGAGGTCGGAGTACTCCATTCAGGACATCCATTACTGGATAACCACAGTATGTAACAATTTTAAATTTTGTCCCCAATTAAGTCACATAGCAGACTGAATTTCGCCATTAGGAAAAGATACAGGGTGGACAAAAAAGTATATATGCATATTTTCAACATTGACACCCTGTAACTCAAAAGTTAGGATAGATATCTAGATATATAGATAAATAGATTCGTTTTTTGTTTTTAGGAAAATACATTTTTCATCACAAGGGTTCGAATTATATTCGATCATGATTATGCATTAACAGTGGCTGATCTGAGTGAAATGAATAAAGTGAAGAGAAAAAGAAAATGAAGCTAGAAGAAAAAACAAAAAAAAAACAATGTTTCATAACTATACAAATTCCTATAGGTTTATTTATCAATCCCTAATAGCTTAAAATTCATTCATTCATAATGAATGCTCGTAACTTCATAATATTCATCAAAGACTGCACAAGCTTTATTAGATGTACAATGTTATGGGTGTTGAGTAGAAGTACTAGATCATCATTACTTCTAAATTCTGACAAAACCTGAATAGTAGGGAATTCAGACAGAATATGTTGCAGGGATTCAGTTAATTGTAGATTGCAAATTGAGCAAACTTTTGTAGGGTCAATAATGTAAACGGAACCATGAAATGAGAACATCGAGGACTTTTTGCTGCAAGCCTGATTTGGGCAATGATACGCTGATAGTTCGTAGACTGATAGGCTATTGTATATGAGCGGAAAGGAAGAATTCACAATAAGTCTTTCTGAGTCGAAAGATGATTGCTTCCGCTTGAATTTAGTCAAAACATCATACTGAAAAGTTAGGACCTCACGAGATACGTTTATATAAAGTTTAATTCTTGAAATGGGTTGAATAATCGGCACCCTTCCCCTTCCTCATTAAGGAACACTCTGTAACATTTAAATTCATTATTTTTACCAGTCTAATAGTTATTCATCATAAAATAGAAAAAAGTTTAGTAGATTAACTCCAGATTGTGTGACCTTGAGCTAAAATCTAATATATTTCCCGTGTATAATACACTAATTTCTTCTGTGACAGGAAAAAGGACGAATCAATATTGAAAAGATATTACAATATAGTGAAATCAGAAAATGATCGACGTGAATTTTGTTTCAAACAATAACGTTTTTAACAGTAATGACACCTGCGTTGCAGGCATTTTTATCATTATTTTGCAGTAATCAAATATCTGTCAGTTTGATTCTGTGATTTGATTTTAATAAATTGCTGTTTTAGTGGTTGCTTAGTAATTTACGTAACCGCGAGGTCGAATGGAAGATAAAAGGGCTTTCTCGGAGACCATCAACAGTGTAGGTATATGTGATATTCGAGTTGCTTTTGAAATAAGTGAACATATTTATAGCACATCAATATGATACGTTCTAACGAATATTCCCATGAATTCAGATTTTTCTAATTCTTCTAATTTACGAGAAATTTCGTCCCGAGAATTGAACAAAAAAAAAGAAAAAATCAAGTACGCCACATTATTAAAACAATTCAAATGATTGAACTCCGCGTGATTGGGAGTTTCGCACGGAAATTTGAACAGAGGGGACGTCAGAATTGCTACAGTGTAGAACTTTGGCAAATTTCAGTTTGATCTCTATATTTTTTTTATTGATTCCATCCAATTATACGTCGAGCTTTTTCAGGACTTGAAATATTTCCACTTATTTCAATCAGTGGCGGCTTGTGACTTCCCTGACAGAGGAGGCTGAATGATATGAGATTCATTGTGAAAAACAACTCTCTACGACTCACCCAAATCAAATCAATAGCTTTAATGACATTCTGTTTACCAGTTAACCTGAACTTAATACTTGAAGAGAATGAAGAGATGTGTTCCTGTGATTTGCACTTTGCAGTGTCTATCCAATCCGCGAGGCAAATTTTTCAAATCACTTATCGGTTGAAAATAATACGCAGTACGAAAAAAATAGCTTATTCCTTATCTCAGATTCCGTCAATCAGATATATTTTTTATAATTATCAGAATTGAACGAACGATTTTGTTTGTTACCTGTTACAATCAGATTTTTTAATTCCGGTGTCGGACGTTTGTATTTCATAATACAATCAATATATTTCCATAAGACAAAGCACTGAATCGGTTCACCAAAAAGTATTCCACTAAATCGCAATCGTTTAAAACACTCATTTTTCATAAATTTATTGACCTCCTAACCATTAACCTAACATAAACATGAACAATGCACTCGCGATTGTCCGCAATTCGCGACGAGACACGACCACGACAAACACGTGTTATTCGGGCGTATTCGGGCATTTGCATTGCGCGCTAGGGGTGCGCCATGTGGAGGAGTCTAGCCTCCTATAGATGTTGCCAAGTTGAATATTTTACGCGTTATATGAGAACTATTAATTATAAAGGTTGTTTCATTGGGAATGGGACATATGATAACAGCGTAATTTGAACGAAAATCAATTTGACACTTCTATCTGTCATCATGAAATAATAAATTTAGTAAATATTGTGCTTCTGCCTTTGAAAGTACTATAAAGAAGCGTACAAGTTATATTTGAGAGAGAAATTACCGACATCCTATTTGCGGGAATGAATGTTTGCCAGATGTTGACAGTGGAATATGATGAAAATGTACGAGGTCATTGGAATTCATAGAGGGAATCAAACGAATTTTTATAATACAGGGTATGTCACGACGAGCTTACACTATCTCTTTATCGAGAATCAGTCGAGAGAGATCCATGAAAATGTGCATGCATGAAAATGTGCCGCTTCTATCAAAAAGTAGCAACAACTTTGTTATTTCAAATAGAATACCCTGTATTTTATTGCATTTTTAGGTTCTCCTTGAAGAGCTGATTTCATAGATACATCATACTTGGGGGTCTATCGGAAATGATTACAGAGCTATAGGGTGTTCAAAATCGAGATTTTTCAACTTTAGGATTTTTTTGTGTCGAAACTATTCATTATCGGCCAAAACGGCTCACATGTCCCTATCGCAACCTTTGGTTTACCGTTTACTGATTTTTATTCTGAACAGATACAGGATGATCAGAATTCTGAATCTTGAATCACCCTGTATCTGTTCCGATTAAATATCAATAAATAGTGAATCAAAAGTTGAGATAGAGACATGTGAGCCGTTTTGACTGATAATGAATAGTTTCGACAAAAAAAAAAGACTAAAGTTGAAAAATCTCGATTTTGAACACCCTATATCTCTTTTTGGATAGACCCAAAGTGGGATATATCTATGAAATCAGCTCTTTAGGGAGAATCTAAAAATGCGCTAAACGCTAAAATACATGGTGTTCTATATAAAATATCAATGTTGCTACTATTCTCTAGTAGAATTGGCAACACTGCATTGTCAAAAATATTTCAAATGAAGAGAGCGTATTGTAAAATATAAGCATGCATATTTTCATGTGTTTCTCCCGACTGATTCTCGATATAGAGATAGTGTAAGCTCTTCGTGACATACCCTGTATAGTGACATTCATAATATATGAAAGTCTAATATAATCAGTAAATTAATTGTATGTATATACCTACTTGACTATTCAAGTTCCACCACTTGACAAACGGAAAGCAATGAAAAAAAACGAATACAAATGAACATTCGATGAAGGTATATAGGGTGTTTGAATAAGGTTTGCCATCGGTCGTATCTATATACTATTCCAAGTCTATCATATACAGCGTGATCCACGGTGGATGGCCTATTAGAAGTATCTGGAGTACGAGAAAACAGAACATTCTGAAAATTGGGATGCATTGATAATTGAACATTCTCTATCCGTCTAAAATATTTCCATCGATACAGTGTTGCCACTTCTATCAGAAACAACTAGCAACTTCGTTATTTTAAATGAAGCACCCTGTACTCTACTGCGTCTTTAGATTCTTACTGATTTTATCAATGTATCACACTTGGGGTCTAGCAGGAATGATTACAGAGATACGGGTGTTCAAAATCGAGATTTTTCAATTTTAGGATTTTTTTGTGTCGAAACTATTCATCATCGATCAAAACGGCTCACATGTCCCTATCACAAGTTTCGATTCAATGTCTACTGACATCTAATTGGAACAGATACAAGGTGATCAGAATTCTGAATCTTGAAGCATTCTGTATTTTTTTCAATTGAATTCCAGTAGATAGTGAATCAACAGTTAAGATAGGGACATGTAGGCCATTTTGATCGATAATGAATAGTTTCGACACAAAAAAATCCTAAAATTAAGAAATCTCGATTGTGAACACCCTATACAGGGTGTTTCATAATTGAATGCTGATC